AATGAGCGCAAATGTTTTCGGAAGATACAACTCGTTTCTGTTCTTGATCACTGGTCAAACATTTCGGTACCCACTTCGCTGAGAGCTTACGCACAATTGAGTTGTCGAATCTGGGCAATTATTTTAGCAGATATTCCACGGTCTTCCATAATCAGTTCAGGAAGAGCTTCCATGGTTGCTGGGTTAGTTGAGGTTCGGGGACGACCACTGCAGGACTCATCTTAAATGTTAAAATGACCAGACTTGAAACGAGATATCCAGGTTTTGACAGCACTGTAAAATGGATAGTTCTACTTGTGTTTCTAACAGCTCGTTGTGAATTTCCTACGGGTACTTTTTCCAGAGAACAAAAGCTTCACGACAGAAGGTAACCCAAACGACGTGGAAGTTGCTTCTACCTCTGCCATCACAACTTCCGCCTAAAAAAGAAATTAGTCATAATTACAAACACTTGATATTTGCAGCTAGATACTAAAATATTAAAGTCTCACATGCTCCCACACTTTTTCCTAGTTTGTTTAAAAGGTAGCAAAGCCAGAAACTTATCAACATCCCCTCATACTGCGGATCACATCAGCGAAGTTCCATCCGGTGCGGTTCCAGGTTCACTCAGGGCTGTAGCCATCCATACCTCATCAAAATTGGAATCAGCTTGGTTGGAACCTGACCGTTACCCTCACTGACAGTATTAGTGGGTCATGAAGAAATTCGCCTTTCCTTCTCAAGAACAAGCCACGCTTTGCAAACCAAACGATAAGCACTATCCCATCGGAACTGTGATGACACAAAAGAATACACCACGAAAAAACAGTTTTCAGCCAAAAACCATTGGCACTCACAATCCGCACTAGTCTAGCCTACCCGTGCGTTCACTAATTCATCCAGTGTTCCATACCAATCCGCCGTTCGAGGTTTCGACTAAATCGCAAACACCGTTTACTCTCATTCTCGCCTCACCATGTATATGATGGATGTCCAACTTTTGGGAAGACAACCTGTCGCAAGTTTTGCCCCATTCGACAACAATTCCCAGTGTTCATAAGTGAATCACGGAAAGCAATCGTGACTTCAAATTAGGTAAGAGGACTAGAGAAACATTGCGATAAGCATGCAAAGGGTAACCACAAATGGAATCAGTTCAGTAGGCAGAGTTCAGACTGTGGTTTCGAAATTACTCAATGGATAAGGAAACTTCATCAATCAAGGTTGGATCTGGAGAACCCACTGTGTGGTCGGATTGCGACACGAAACCTTTATTAAGACCTCGGTCATTCCGATCACAAGGACCGCATCTGAAATGGTGTTTCGATGTTGATCTTTCCAACACTGACACCCCACAGCGGGATCGCCAGATCGAACTCTAAATCCCTTTCCGCTGTGCCAAGTGTTGCGCATATATCACAGTGATCAAGGAGTCAGACGTGAACTACTAGGCTTCGAGTTCCACCTCAGCCCAAGCGATCTCCATTTGATGAATTCAAAACAGGACAAAGCCGTCGGTCGTGGGATGTCAGTACAGGAAGGATCAACACCGAAACATCCCTAAACTTTATCTTTACTGTTCAACCACCGGCGTAAATGCTGACGAGGAAATCAGAAACTCTTCGCTCTTGCCTGACATACGAGTCCACTGCCCTCATTTGCTTAAACTTGATGCAAGCAACCTTTTCAGTTGCACTGTTCGCATCGACTGTGAATAATTTGAAACTGTGTTATCTAAGGACTATGCTCAGCGCTTGTTGTTCGTCAGTGCCATTTGCCCATGTAGCGAAGCGAATCACATATACCAGTTGTTAGACACACCGACAAGGAGCCTAGAGTTATTCCAGGTTAACCAGTGAACGGAGATGGATTGTTACGCAGTCTGAAGTTAACGCTATCGCAACCAAGCAGCCAGACCGCACTTACCGATAGAGATAGCCGTCAGGCAATCACAGTAGAGACCACCTCATCCACCAAAAACAAACTACCCAGCTTGTTCAAAGAAACTTCTGCTGGCTCGCGCCAATGTGGTGTGTAGTACTGCCAGACATGCAACACACGGCACGTACCAGTCTAGGAATGTGCCCAGAGTAGCACCAACTTTGTCGGTATAAAATGAGTAGAAAGTTAAGGCTTCCATATCTTCTTCAGGAAAATCAGAACATGGAAATTCGTTTGGCTAGCTGATGGAACCGACACGATGTGAAATTGACATCTGAGGACACTTGTCCACTTAATCCGAGATAACCGAACAGTGAAATGTGTTCCGTGACGCCAATCATGCTGACCGCGAAGAAAGCAGTTACTACTTGATAGAAAAATGTAGGTAGTTAGATTGGTCATTTCTGAGTGAGCCTCCGAAATGACTTTTCATTGTTAAGTTTGGTTCCGTCTCTTGTATCAGGGGTCCTGTATCGCTTCATCACTCAAGTTAACACCCGCAGTAACATGAAGCTTGGTGAGTAGATTTACTCCCCTTAGTGCACGTATAACGTATAAAAAGTCGTGCATAAACGAATCTGCAACGGCTACACAAAGTGTGGTAGGGACACGCGTCCAGAAACGTTCACGACTGGCAAACGTACTTGCTGCCACACTGAGATCAACAATGTCATCACCCTCAGTGCATGATCATGTCCGACTCCCTTCTGTTTACCCAACTTTCTGAGCGCATTCACCTTGTTTCGTAAACAAGCGCGTCCAACGCACTTATTGTATTAGTTCATCAAACACATGTGATGGTGTATGATACACTCATCATTGTATCCACTGAACAATTTTCATCGGTCGCCATAAAGGTCGCTAGACTTGGGTACATCCACACAATATTAGCTGACGCCTCTGTGAGCACGTAGTGTTTGATGAACTGAATCCTAATGGATTCGGTTCACTGAAGATAGGGAGCTAGAAGACATTCTCTCTATCGACAAAGTATCGTGCACGAAAACGGAATACCATCGTTTGTTACCATGTGATGTCGATGCAGTTCGGCTGTGCGACGTCCTATATAGGTGTGATGTGCTTTGAGATGGGCGTCTAGGAACCTGAATCCCGACACCGAGTTCGCCTCGAGTGTTGTCTCGGGCACTGCACTAATATTTCACCACTCGACGTTTGAAACAAGTAGAGTAAAGCAAGCGCTTCAGGTCCGATACCACAAGCTGGTACCGGTGCCCGCACGTGCAGCAGCGGCGTCAACATGGGGAAGTCACCCAAATGTAATATCGGGTGTGTAATCATGAGGTTATTTACAAACCGACGGTACAACACACTGAACAGATTCAATCTCCTGCATCGGTCTTCCTACGACATACCCCGTGAACTGGGCATGATCCTGGTAGCCGCGCATGCTGAACACGTTCCAGTTATTGCAACCCGCCACAGGTTATCGGACAATAGGCGGTGAGACATACCCGAACATTCATCCTATGATGAAAACGAAGAGGAGAATGGCAACTTCTTCAGACCAAGTACAGAAGCTGTGCGTAAGCGTCCAAAGCATGCGTAGTCCGTTACGATATGGCCCGTTCGTGTTATCGCAGCGCCAGAGTATACCTAAGTCCTTCACGAAAAGTGTGGGGAGTAGCTGCTGGTTGTCAAGGGTGTATGTTCGGCCGTCCCTACCCTTTCTCGGGCTCATAAATAACGAATTAACTAAGTTGACCGGTAGATCGACATCTGCGCAATACAAGGATAGGCGGTTAAGGTCATGCCAAAGTAAGTCGCAGTCGGTAAGAGTACAAATTACTCTCCAAATCTGCAAATCGTCTGCAAACAAGGTACATGGTGACCGAAGAAGCTGAGGTATTTCGTTGATCTGGATTTGGAACAAAAGGTGTCTTGGGGCACTAGTCAGTTAAACAATCATCCACCAGACCCTGTGTCTGACGAAACGCTCTAAGCTCGACTGGGAAAAGTAAACAATACTGTTCGCCTTCAAGTTTCGTGAAAGTAACCGTGGATTTCGGATTGTCTTCAACATATAGGGGTCACAAGCCGTATCGATGAAAAGCCAACTCGATGACACGCGCAAGACAATTATGACAATGAACGATAGTGGAAGAAGCTTGCATCAGGCTAACGAAAAGCGCTTGAGCTGACCAACACAATGCATCGCGTTGAAAGCACTAGCCAGACGTCGAGATGGGAAAAGAAACATGAGCTGTTAACAGCTGCGACTTCGGTAGCATGATCAAGCGATCTGCAGATCGCGAGAAGGAAAGACCATTTGGTGAGCAACTGCTTTCAATGATTCATCATCAGACCATTACAATCATATGGAGCCTAAAAATAAAAATCGACCCAGTTAGTTCAAAACGAATACATCAGTGATGAGAAAACGAATTAGGTCTTAGTGGGCTAGTTGTTTGCTACCGAGTCTAACCGAAGGTAGTCGACCTGGGCGTCCTCCGCTTTCGCTGTCCAGTGAAGTTGGTGAGCCTGGACCAGCTTCTGTGAGCATAACTACGGCTGGAACAATCGAACGCATATTGCTTCAGCTGTCACAAGTGTACGAAGGCGGTAACCTTGTAAACTATTCGGAAAGCGCTTTTCCAATCCACCTCATGGCCGGTGTCCACAATGTGGGCCAGAATGGCGCTACTAATGGTCCCAGCGCCCCCTTGACGCAACCAACGAGGGCAATGTTCGTTCACGCGTTTGGATAACTGCCGCGCCGTTCGAGCATAGATCGTTAATGTCACTGGCGCACTTTGTGATATCCTATCGTATAAAATAAAGAATCAGAGGAAGCCTAAACGCTTGACGAAGCGTTTTGCCTTCTAAAAATAGATGCAAGTTGAACATGTGTCAAGAAGCTGATCATATGCAGACTGGTGGACCACATTTTACTGAGCGAAGCGGAGATGCACCACATGGTCGTGAGTACGGGTACGCAAATCTAAGAGCCCAGGAATACGTGCGAGGGGTGAAAAAATGTCTTCGATATGTCAAGCCTCCTACTCTCTGACGTATTGTGTTTGGGTCCAATCGAATGGAGAGCTTCAGTAACACAAAGTGCGAATGGCGGGATTCTGGCATTTTCAGAAGAATGATTACAACAAACAAGCAGACGCGTGGATAAGTGTAATTGGTGGAAAGTTCGAAGGTTTAGGAGAAAAACGTAAGGGTAATTACGTGGGGATATAATACACGGGACAACAACGCATAGGGGGAAATGTGGGGTCCGGTTAAAAATGGATTAACATTATCTGCGAGCGTCTACATAGCCAGTAGCGGAACCGGCCTTTAATTCAGCGATGGCATCATCAACCAAATTGAGACGTTCCCGTAATTCGCGTAAGCGCTGTTCAGCTGCAAAGCTACCAGCGTCAGACTCAAACGGCTCAGAACGATCAATGGGAGCACCAGGTCCACGGCTTCGATGGCGACTACGCGCTCGTCGTATGTCAACGTTGCTTCCTGGTTCGAATTCTTGTTCCACAATCAAAGCACGTTTTCGACTTGGCGCGGGGGCAAAGATGTCTTCACTTCTCTCTTCAACGCGCTTACGGTCATTCTTGATCGTGCGATGGAGGTTGACATTCATATGAGGAGAGCGAGTATTGTAAATCCCATCGGTTAAATCGGCATGTGGCGTCCTGGGCCTTCTGGGACGCTCCAACACTTGTGCCTGCTGTTGCTGCTGTTGAGTATAGACCATGCCCCCACGGCGACCGCCAGCCTCGTAACGTTGCATCGCGTCATCATACACCATCCCGTGCTTCGCCTGGTTGGGCAAGTCGAATGATTTAGGCTCACGATGACGAAATCCAGCGCCTGGAACACCTGTGAAAGATAAAGTGAAAAGAGGAACCACCACCATTGTCAAGAGTAACACGGTTGTATATAACCATAGAATGCTAATGAGGACATCACAACAGAAGAACAAACACGCGAGGACAGAGATGCGTCTGCAGTTAGGTAAGGACCATCTGTGATTGCCGAAACAATAGTCAACGAGTAATTGCCAGGTGATTTGGTGTTAAGCCAGTTATAACTTTGTAACCCGGTAAGGAGTACAGTTTGGACTGTCTCGACTAAAGTATGTATACACTCTATCCGGCAAAGCGCATTCACGAAGCCAGCGAAGCTACCGACTAATCACAATTAGCTTTCCATCTCAAGCTCCCTTCGATCTGCTGGTGTTGAGTTTGACCTCAGTTTCGTCACTATCGCTGATCACGATTATTCTGCCCAGCGACCCAATGACAGTGAACCCCCTTTACAATAAAGGTCGTTGTTTAACCGAACTGAACCGACAGATCTAAATTGCAGCAAAGGGGTAACTGTGCACACACAACCCGCCTTAGACCTAATTTGTGTGCCTGTGGGCTGCACACTTCGGTGTGTGCTGTTTTCGAGTAGTCACCTTGTGCCGAAGCGGTTACTCGATGATGATAACAAAGCGACATGAATAGAGCAACTAGAAGACTTGGTTCAGCTGGTATATGTCAACTGCTTGCATGAGCGCCTCGGGATCGGTGGCAAAGAATCTGCACAGGTGTGGCGAAGCGCAGCCCAGCGCTCTGGATGTCGAGCTCACCACGTTAGATAACTTGCTGTTTTACTGTTTGAATGAACATTTTATTTTATTTTCAGCAGCCATTAATCCATAGCGATATGAGTTACGACGGTGGAATCATCTGCGCTTTGATATCTGGATCAAGATTTTAGAACTGAATCAGACTCCAACATACGTTAGTGCCCAGTTAGCAGTTGGGTTCTCGGTGGTGGATTCTACCAAGCGTCTGGCTTGCAATTCCCGAGTCTCCAGCTTCAAGCATGAGTAGGCGCGGGTGATCTGGCGGTATCCAGGTCTGTAGGAAACCGCTGCTGGCTACATGGTAACGAAGCAGCGTTACGGAGTATATGAGTGATACGGATACGTTTCTTGGGGAACTCAACAAGTGTGACGTAATCTCGGTAAACCGGGCCATATGTCAACAATTATCCTAAGGCGGAACTTAACGCTTGTACGCATTATGGGAGATGCACGGGCTTAAACAGGTATCCTGTACGGTTGTGAAACCTGGCCCATTAGATCAGTAGACATAAGGAGGCTAGTTACGTTCGACCACCGGTGCCTTCGCAATTTAGCGCACATGTGGTGGGAACACCGTGTGAGCAACGAGCATGTTCGACGCCTTGTTTATGGCACAGGAAAAGGAAACGAACCACTCAGCACCGTTATTTCACGTACCAAGCTCCGATGGATCGGCCACGTGTTACGCATGCCAGCCCACCCGCTCTCGCGATGCGCGTTGTTTGCGCGCCGGGGGTGTGTATGGAAGAAGAGGAGAGTTGGCCAAGCGATGACTTGGTCAAGAGGAATGAAGGCCCTCACTTCGAAGCTGGTCTCAGTTGGAGCGTTTCGGCTCTCTAGTTGAGTCCGAAAGACGATGAACACGTTTGAATGGATACACTTGTTGATATGGCTAGGAGCCGACCTCAGTGACGTTCGTGCTGTGAGTTTCTTTGTCCCACCCCATCTCTCTTAGCCTCCGCCTCCAACCAAGATCTCATTATTTAGCATTTTACAATTATGTATAGGAAATTATTTTTATTTGCTGCATAGTAGTCGGCGGGTAGCTTACCGGAACGATGCCCATCCGTTACCGGTAGCTCAGCTGCCTTACACCAGTTGCTTTTCTTTTCCATTTTTGCTTTTAGGTATTGCGGCACAGTAGCTGAGGTGTTTCCACCTCTAGCTAACATGGATGGTGTGCGTGTGTGTGTGTGCTATGAAGGTCAGGCAGACCTTGTGAGCACCCACTAGTTCGCCCCAAGATCAACGATGATCGATAAGTGTTTCAACACTCTTTGGAGAAATGCTTCATGGTGTTTGGAACTAGTAAGCAAATAGAGCAGTGATGCGATGGAATACAAATGGAAGATGAGCTCGTCAAAGCAACTCAAGTCAATTTCATAAGTTTGTGCAGAATACATACCTGATTGCTGGTCCACGCTATACTCTCCGTACATATTTTGCATTTGTGTATGAGAGGATCTGTGTGTGGGAATATTTGTCTTGGGAATACGATCGGAACGGTGACGATGAGAAGTCTCGTGACCGGCTTTCATACGGTGCTGCCTAGCGTCGACCCCTTCAAAGAACTCTCGAGAGTACTCATCAGGAGGTGGTCCGCGAACGATCGGGCGGTTGCCCTTGCTAAAACCATCATCCACAGGCCCAACACGACCGTAGTCGGGGGTTATCATCGGCCGAGTTCGTTTGTGAGATTTGTGAGGTCGTTGATCGATAGTTATTTGAATGTTGCGCGCATCTTGAGGTAGGCGCGCAGTATCAGACACATCGACCGGCGATTGGTGACGAGAGTGGGAATCCTGTCCAGATCTCGATGAAGACCTGGAACGAGAGGAGCTACCGGAATCAAGAGAAGAGTCCGAGAAAGATAATCTTCTGTAAGTTGGCCGTCCACGTATCGGTATTTTAGACAAGTCATCTCGTTTCTTGTGATTAGGGTTCCGACGCCTTTTAGCAGCTTCGGCAGCTGCACGTCGGCGTTCTCGTTCCTCAACAATCGCCGCAGCCGCCTCGGCTTGTCGACGGATTTCGTTCTGGTCGATGGTGTTTGGAAAATTAGGCAGCGGATGACCAGGGGCGGAGGGAGATACCCCGCGATTCATTGACGGAACTGGGAATGGTAAACGTGGAACGCGTGGCGGCGATGGCTGAAAAGTGCGTCCAGTAGTGGTGCGCGTAACCCCACCGGCCAAGTTGGTCATATCGACAGTGGAAGCCTGTAAAAAGAAGCAGATCAACAAGGAGGAATTGAAAGAAGTTTCATGTGTTGATGCTCCGCAGAAAAATGCGCATGAAACCGATGGCATCTCACATCACCTACTTTGATTCTTGGAGCCAACGTCATACGCACTCCGGGACGATTGGAGGCGGATGGCAATTCGCCTGCAGTGGTCGTTGGTTGAGCGGAAGTGACAAGAGTGGGTTCGCTAGGGGGCTCCTGTCTAAGCTGAAGCGCTGGGGACACCAATGGTGGGGCATCTCTGCCCTCTTGTGGGGGTGGTTGGGCAGACCGGTGTGGTATGGAAAATTCATTTGCTGGATGGGGTGGTTCAGGCACTTCGGGTCCCGTGCCTCTTTGGCGTTGGTCGATAAGATAAGGACTACGGCTCTTCTTTCGACGCGGAGTAGCTAAAACAGCAGTGATCAGTAAACAGTGACCCAAAATTGCACATAAACTCAGCAAACAAAGGACAACGCATTTTCCCGGTGGACTAAAGTTCACTATTAACCAGTATCTGCAAGCGAGATAAAAAATAGAGCAAAAACAGTGATCACAAGTGTAACGCGGTGAAAAGAAAGAAGAATAGAATGGATGTATTGGTGGTGTTGAGTAATTCCAGTGGCAAAGTGGACTTTGATGGCCCCACGTAAAGATCTGAAGTGACGTCATAAAACAGACACCGTCGGACGGTGTAAGGAAGACTTCATGTAAAGAGATATTGGTTCAACGACTCAGAACCCAGGAAAAAGTGCATCAGATTTACGCTATTCCGTGGACAAACAGCAGGGCACTTGACCGTTAAGTCGTTAGAGTAGTTGGTCAAATGAGAAAGCATCCATGAATTAATTGAATTATACCAAAAAGCCTCGCTACTCATCAGTAATATATGAAAATCCGTCCGTAGAACTTGCAAGTCCTCGTGCTGTGCCGGGGCGCTTTGAGGAAAGTCCTAGCTCGTGAGGCTAGCCACTATCCTCTGCACAGTTCGTAACTGACATAGCAGTGGAAGATGGGTCGGGCTATAGCATACTCAACTGTCAATCACGCAGTTCCGCGGTTGTCACCCGTGGCAAAATGGCATTAGCTGCTGGTGTCCAGAGGTCGTGGAAGCGTAACCCGACAGGGGTCCGAAGGGGAGGTGCACCATTGACGAAACGCCGGCGTTTGGTGTTTTTCCAGACTAACCTAAGCCTGCTGATGGAGAGTGACCATGATGGATTAACTAAATCATTCATGGTAAGGTTGAGTCGTGCGATGGAATTAAATAATGCGGAACCAAGCTGCATAAATGGTGTGATCCTACTTTGGAAAAGAAGTGAACCGCGTGGAGAACATCCAGAAAGCTCACAACAAGTGGACTATTGAGAATGACTCAGCCTAAGGCAGAACGCCATCTCCACAACACACTGGCTAGACTTGAACTACTAAACCAATCTCAAGTGGAGTGCATTTATTTATCGATACAGTAGATCCGGATGATTGACAGTTCAGTTTTCAGACACTAAGGATATGCAGCAGTGCAGAAACACTACATAAATAATTCCTAACGAGACAGAAAATAAATGCATGGATAAGGTGTGGCTTATTTCCGTAATAAATAATAATAATGTGTCAGCTGTACGCCATAACGGCGCTTCGCTGCCGCGCAACCACCATCAGTCGCGCGCGGGCTGGGTATACCGCGAGGAGGCCCACCCCTACGCGGATTCGAACCGCGGATCGGATGGTTGCAAACCAGGTGCGCAGATCACTCGGCCACCGGCCGATAACTTATTTCCGTGCGAATACTTAGTCCAACAGTGAATTTTATTAACAAGTAGCGTTTGTCTAGATAACGGTTTTGTAGGGAGGGGTTGCATACACATTCAGTGAAGACGATGCAACATGGTCAAAGAAGGTGGGACCACAACAGCTTTCATAATCCCAGCCTTAGTGCCAAGCCAGTGACGCATAGATGCTTACAAGCTCAAAAAGATGAAACGGAAGTGGTAATAAGCAATGTGCGTATAACCCTTGATAATTATTAACAGATAGGTGGTCAGATGGGACGGAGTATGCCGCATGGAAAATAAGTGTAAAACATACACCTCTTGTGCAACCTGATCATATCTACCTACCACCCCTGAACATCAAGTTTGGTTTGATGAAAAAGTTCGTCAAAGCCCTCAAGCGAGATGATTTCAGTACCTGAAACAAATGTTTCCGAAGATAAGTGACGCGAAGCCCAATGTAGGGATAGTTACTGGGTCAGATATTAGCCGGATAATGGCAGACAGTGCTTCGGAATGCTCGTTGACTTTATTTGAGTTAGAAGCGTAGAGATCATTCCAGGCAGTTGTTGCTGGAGTTTCGGGTTGAACGAAGGCAGAGAATTATAAAGACATCTTAAAAAACTCATTGCAGACTAACAGGCTGCTGGCGTTCGAATGCCCCTCAAGATTCACTTTCTACATAAACACCATGGGTTTTCCCCTGAGAACTTGGGATCAGTAAGTGATGAGCATGGTGAGCACTTCACCAAGACATTTCAGTCATGGAGCTGCGCCTTTATGACGGGTAACTTTTGCTGGTTTGTGCAGCTTGAGGGCGGTGGATAATACAAGTGACGATCTTGGTGAAGTCATCATTTCCCAGTGCCGAGCTGCAGTCAGTAAGTAAGGGGCGAGTATTGCAGTGATGTTGATGATGATGACATATACGCCAAAAATGCATAATGTATATGCATATGTGTATTTACATAGAATTCGCGCAATCTAGACTGGACATTACTGAGAATAATCATTAGCTTAGAAAAATGTAACCTGACGCGCTAGGTAACATCAGAATACGTTTCTATGATCAATGGTTCTATAAGATAGACATATACTTTCTGTGTTAGAATATAAAAAGAATGCTGTTGTACAGTGTAATTAGGGAACATAAGACACAGCGAACAGCGCAAAAAATCGCGACATGCTTTTGTCTAAACGTTGTTAAGCTATTTGAAAAACAGCTGGCTTGTCTAACAACCTCCTTGTGGTTTCAGCTGGGTAGTTTGGGTTCACCCCGTTCCACTAAATAGTTCAGCGGCTGTGTTGCAGGACGTGGTGGATTTTCTCTTGGCAAGCGTTCTCCAGACAAAATGCCGCAAATATCTGTTTAGCAACGCTGATACATAGCGGATGTGACTCGCCACCCTTGCCATATCACCAACATCAGTCGTCCATCCCGAAGCTTTTCTTTGATCCCTTCTCACACTTGCGAGGCGATCGAATACAGTCAAAAATTCATTGGAAAATTTACAAATCCAACAAACACAGATATGTACACATTCATATATAGATCCATTTGTGTCACCGTCAAAGCTATGACAATTTTGTTCATTTCCCGACCATTCGTTGTCCTTTCACTACCATAATTCCTGTGCAGACGTGCCTCAGGTTGTCCAGAATCAACTATTTATTTATTTAGGTGACTAACACCTTAAAAGTAAAGAAATGTCTGGGGAAACTATTGGAAAGCAATGAAATAAGCAGCAAAATTAAGACGAGGAGTCGTAGCACGGAAGCTAGGTACGCGTCCACGATAGCCGGTATTCCAGAAGCGATTGGGTGGAATGTACGCATGAATAGTGGTTGGAAACAGCAAGTAGAGATACCTCTGGGTAACTGTATAAAAAATCACTCAGGTACAAAGATCTGGTATGTTGGAGAGCGTTCGGTATATTTCATATCGGCAACTGTCCAGGAATTCCTTGAATCCCAATATCGACATTGTCTCACATACGTGCCGCAGCAGGTTGTTCCATACATCCATTACACTCCATTCGAAACGGAGTTAGCGGGCGACCCGCTACAAATCCGGTACTACAAGTTTGTGTCGGTGTCTTCGTGTGCAGCTTGATGCGCGAATGTGGAGCAGTGGCCCTAACATGGGTTAATCACCAAGATGTAACACCCAGCGAGTCATGATGAGGTCAACTCGCAATCGACGATAAGAGAGAGTGTAAAGCCGTAGTCTCTTGCGCCGGTCTTCGTACGGAAATTCTCGTAAAGTGGGGATCAGCTTGGTGGCTACATGCTGTACCCACCTAACCCTTTCTACTTCGCCTCGGGTGATAGGACAATATGCAAGTGAGAAGTATAACATTGGTCAGATTATTAAGACGAAAAGGTAAATACCAATTTCTTCGGACACCCACCTTTCGGTGAACAGACATCGGGTCATTCACACTGTCAGAAGCATAACATGTAGTAGCCGCCGAAATTGCAGTTACTAGGATTATAGGAAACTGGACAATCGAGCACTTCCAAGAGAGCGAACGACCAGAGAATGGAAGAGATTACTGTGAGGCCTATAGCTAAAGTAGGCTGACTAAGGTAATACCTAGTATATCGCCGAGACAAGTGGTCCTAATAAGTAATCGATGTGATGATGGAATCAGTAAATGTGGTTCTTTATTTAGCTAAATGGAGAAAACCACAGACCCTGGAATGCGGGTAAGAGTCGCTGAGGGAACAATGGAGTATCAATTAAAAGGACAGGATTTGGCGTGCATTAAAAACCGGAACGGATAAATGCTAAACAAGTCAGCGGAAGCAGCGTACCACAGGATACGCTTAAAGTGAAGAACATCACAGTGACACGTCGGCAAGATCATCACCTGGTAATCAGCTAGTATGATCAAGGTGCAGTGAATTCACGTGTCTTCGCCCGGGTTGTTATGGTGATGACAAAGACAAAAACAAACAAACGGATGCAAGGAGCCATTGATTGATCGGTTGCATGAGGAAAGGGTCAGCATCCTGCTGTTACACCAACTGGGCAGTTGCTATTAATGAGCCGATATACAAAGCCACAGACAGAAACATGGGCGAAAGATGCACAGGCGCCAGATAGCAGTAGGCTTGTGTCAGCTGTACGCCGTAACGGCACTTGGCTGCCATGCGACCACCACCACCAGCCGCACGCGGGGTAAGTATATCGCGAGGACGCCACCCCAACGCGGATTCGAACACGCGCCGCAAGATTACGAGACAAGCTCGTTACCTCTAGGTTACGTGTCGATAGTAGGATTGTCGCTGTGCAACTGTCGACGTTGCCAGTTGCGGAGCGTCATACCGAATTCGTTGAAGGTTCAGCGCCAACAGCAGAGGAATATAAGGGCAAAGGTGGTTATGGTGATATGGATATAATGCGGTAGACAAAGCCCTAGATAATATATCCATCGCTTCGGGATAAATGTTCTGTAGAAACTACAATAAATACTGTAAAAATAAGGCGGCAGTAGTCCGACATTTAGATAAAGAGGTGCAAAATTTGAGGACACGGACAAAAATGAGGAACTGGAGACGTGGATCAGGAGAGCAAGGAGAAAGGGAGCAGTAAGGTTGAAGTACATTAGATCGAGTGCAATAAATCTGTTCACCTAATGACAGGGTTGCCAAAACAAAGCCCTAGTGATTATGACAAATAGATGAAAAGGGTCCCCCCGGGCAGTGGCGTAGCAACTACTTGTGCCGCCCGGAGCCGTGGTAAAATTTTCGCCCCCCCACTGGCGGTCGTAACCTATGAACCCACAAAATCGGCTAAGGATAAAGTGCACACTAATTTTCGACGAAATGTATGATCGTTCGGGACACTGAGGTAAATGTGGTGACTACAGTGGGACAAGTAAAAAGACCGCTGCGAAGAACGTTTGAACAGATATGGCACATAGCACAAAGGTGCTGATGGTCATACAGAGTAACATTAAAACACTCAACCCTCAGCTTATATGGCAAGTTTGCTTCTTATATTTGGTAACAGACAATCAACGGTAGTACAAATGCCAACTGGGTCGGACCGCCACCCTTGCTACGCCTCTAGTCTCAGGATCCGAAAAAGAAGGCTTTAAGTCTGAAGAAATGGATATATTATAATCAGAACTTTTAATGGTGTGCATCGAGCGATTAATTAGTCATAAAATTAATCGGCAGACTAAAAGTTACACCCATGAATACAATAGACACAATAGATGAGGCCATAAAGAGATTATGTTGTGAAATCCTGCCAGCTTCCGAAGGAAAAGAGCGTGCTTACATCATTGGTTGACCCCAAATTTATGCCTGAATGCGGGTTACGCAAGTTTTTGATGGACAATTTGATGCGTGAAAACGGGAATGATACCGACCTAGTTGGCGTGAAAACATCAAAATCCTTATCTTAACAAAACAGCCCTGCACCATACTCGATGAGACCTCGTTTCCGTCCAGACTGAGAAATCGATAGTGTGAGGTACTAAGCAAGAAGACGCCATGAGATTACATACAATAGCACACTTATGCTAAGGCAGAAAGTGACAACGCTGCTTCTGGACATGACATGATGCCGAGAAAGTTTGGGCCACAACCAGCACTGTCAAGTAGTGAGATCAAGTGCATGTGGAAAGTTTGTGACAGCGCGATTTAGCCTCGTTGAAACAGTGTAATAAACAAATCAATGCCAATATGGTGCACGGAAGAAATTCTGCACCGAACCGGACTGCGAGCAATGATAAGTGCAATAGAACTAGGTCAATGGAAACGGATGCACCATGTGAGACAGTGTGGTGCAGAATAGTGGGGGTGAACCGGTGCACAGTAACTCATAGCCAAAAAGCCCTGCTGAGTGATCGCAACAATGATAAAGAGAAAAGAAACACTAGGAACCGCACTTAACAAGCACCCAAGTCGTGTTTGGTAAACAAGTGCATGTGTGCACATCGCAATAGAGAGCGAGATAGGAAACTGAGGTTCACCTGTACCGCGGACGTGACCGGCGTGACTTCCGGGCACGACATCGGGGAGCCGCTGTCGACGAACAGCGCCACGACTAGGTCGTTGGCCCTCGTCTGAAGAAGGACTTTTGGACCACGACCTACAAAGAAAGAGATAAACCTCAGTTGGGCCGCACTTGCCAAATTAAACATCAGATTAGCCTTAAGTTTGGATATAACACATTGTGATCCATCAATGTCAGAGTGAAACAGCAGTGGGTGGGAGCAAGGATAACAACCCTGATTATAGCGAATAGATAAGAGCCAAAACAACTGCGAATTAGGGTAAACTGCTAAGGTGGCCCTAATAGTTGACAGTAAAGAAAACGAATGAAAACAGTAGAGACGGCAGGAATGATAGATCCAGTTCCCATGACAACGAATATTACAAAAGATAATTACCAGTACTCGGGTGATGATGGCGAAATAACGCACATATAAAAGTCCGGAGAAAAACAAGGAAAAATACTGAGATATTTGGGTGAAAAAGTCAGCAATTGGAAACAGCAGACCGAATGAATTGGCGCCAGTCAAGTGATGGAGCCAGAAGAAGAAGGAAGAAAAGAAATGCGTCATCAATACACCAGTGCGCCGCACTGACACTATGATGCCACGAGACCACCATCAGTCGCTCTCGAGCCAAGTATACTGGGAGATCTCCCTTACGCACGCAGATTCGATCATGTGACCTCCGAGTAGCAAGAGAGGTGTCGCACGCCTCCGGACACAAGAAACTCGATTCAATGAAATGGCCGATCCTATGGGACCACCCAGAAAGGTGGCATATGACTAGTACGACAAAAATTCGTAGTCAGCAGCCAGTCACCTTGAGGAATCACACAAACAGGTGAAGTGTTGTCTAACGATGCACATCGAGGTAGGCGGTTAGTACGCATAACAAGGGCACTGCGAAGGTCAGTGCATACGGCTTGCTCTTAGTAGACGAAATGACGCGAAGCAGATGGTTTGTTGCTCTATGTTAAGAAACGTGAGTGGTGTAGAATTGACAATTTATCACATGTGATGGTCCGTTGCCAAATATGGACTACCAGGTGCTAAAAATACACACATACCAAGTGATTCCTACCGCTGTGAGAAATTCGGCCATGACGAGGTCTCTGCTCTAACTAGGAGAAATGGACACTATATATCACTCTGCGGTGTAACCGCGAGATGGCTTTTGCCGTCGCTACAAGTGTGCGAAAATGAACAATCGCAAGGAACGTTTCAGTTTAAAGCAGCGGGTCGTTGGTGGAGCTATTCGCAGACGTGATACACGTAGCAGATTTGACAGAATTCCAACAATTTGGAGTGATTGTTCGATGATACTGAGAGCCTGCGATGCATTGCCTAAACCGCAAGATGAGCCACAGCTTGAAATTTGAAGGCGTGAAGAAAACTCCTAGGAAGTTAGGAATAATAGAAGGACAAAGAGGGCTTTCAGGATGTTTTATTGTCGTAGCCAAAGGAATCACAAGCCTGTTTAGTAATCCAAGGGTGCGGGTTCGAGCTGGGCGACTGGGCGACCCCTACAGTGTCCTTAGCCTATGTGCGACTGGTGGTGGTTGCGCGGCAGCGGAGCGTTGGTACTGTGTACCGGTGTGCTGCTGATGCCCTCTTTTGCCCAGTGTCGCATACCACGTCTGTCAGCCAACCAAGCGACATAAACTCCGATACATGGACTAGAGCAGCGACCCACTAACCCTACATTTTGAGATGGGAAAGAACGGGAATAATACGACAGGCCAGATGCACTCTAATCATCACTGAGAACTCAGGGGAGCTGGTGCAGAAAGAAATGTCAAAATGGGAACATTTCTTCAGTATATCTATGCAGAGATAGTCAAGTCTGATATCAACGAACCAGGAGAAGATATCACGGCAGGCTGTTTACATGGGCGATGATATACAAGTAAAGCTGTGGTCAAAGTATCATCTTCCAAAGCGAGAGTCAGTAAACTGCTGGGATATGACACAACAGAGTAAATTGATGCTACTGATGGTTTTTATAAACGGCGCCTTCTGAGTGGGTGGCAATTGCCATGCAACAAGGTGGTAGTTCCGTGAATCGGCAGTAGCCCACCGATCCTGTCCTGCAATGATAGGATCAACCGTACCCTGGATTGGCCGTACGTGGCCACCGTGGTAAGAGTAAGTTATATTTACTGGGATAAGACAATCGCATCGAATTTGTCGCTACGTCCAAGCTAGGAAGTCAGCCTCACTAAACAACTCACTAGAAGTTGCCAGCGAACAGAACTAAATGTTTAATGGTGTCGGTGATACAGCTAGCAAACTGATCACCATTGCTATTCCCGGCAACAGCAGTAGCATTTGTGATTCACTTCAGTGAACATCATCAAAAGTACACAGGTGCCAAGTGCCGAGATGTCGCTGCTGCGCAAATCCCAGTAGTTGATTGAGGACCAAAAATACTGCGACGCAGTGCGCGCCTACGTAAGCCCGAATTGGGAATTACAAGAAAGACACCTGAACCAGTCGGTCACCGGTCGGGTTTCAATTCCGCACGAATACAAAGTATGTGAGATGACCCTAGTGTCCAAGATGCGGAAGGGTAAGATCATGCCTAATGCATGCCCAAACGCCCCAAATAATGGAGCAATATGTCTACATAGCACAGTGGCAGAAATATGACCACCATGCAGACAAGAGAAAGATACTTTCCCTGCAAGGCTAGTTGCTCGGCTTCATAGACATTTATTTAGCACCACATCATGCAAACGTGTAATTTGGCGAGAAAGACCAACAACACCCAGTCCAGTGGCCGGAAACATGAGTTCCCGCTATCAAGCCAGCAACTGCCCCACCAAAGCTCTGTGCCATAGCTAGTAAACAAAACAAGGCACACCACGATAATCAATAGGCGGGCATAAACAGCAAGTACTCTATTGAGGATTTAAAGAACCGACGCGTGGTCAATACCCACATCGTGCAGAAACTGTTGGTGTCATTAGCCAACAGCAATGCTCCAAAACGACGATGTGAATACGTTGGTTCCCCAGACCGTAGTAGCCAATTCTCACCACCGTAGGGAAGGAGATTGCGCCGGAAATAGTCCTGTTCGCATTCCCTTTAAGGCCAATAAGAATTCACTTAGCAATACGGGCGTCGCGACTCAACTTTGGTAGCCACGTCCTCGTCGCTAACGATGCAGTCGCGGAGTCAGGCCAACTGATCAACTATCTACAATTCTTCGTTGATAAAAAAACGAGAGACTATCAAGTGACTAGGGTTCTGCACTGCACTTTGGGAGTTGAAAGCGTAGAGCGCATACCAAAGGAGAGAATCGCTCAAGGGAGTTTGTTCACGAACGCCTGTTTTGCGCGGTGATTTTCAACAGCTAAACGACACCCCCCACAATCCATATCGACCAGCCTACTGCCAAGGAGCCATCAGCAATACGCCGTACCGACGCTTCGCTGCTGTGCAACCGCCACCAGTTTCATATGGGCTAAGGATACCGCGAGGGTCGCCCGGTCCATAGGCAGAATGAAACCCGCGCCCTCGGATTACAGGGCAAGGTTGTGATCCTTGAGGTTACGGGCCGGCAGCCCACTACTGTGCCGGACTTCAACACTGGGTTAGTAATAGTCCAAAAGGTAACATTCCATGACTGAGATACAAAACTGACTGGAAGTTGGAAAATGAGATGATGATGGCGAGGTCTGTTCTTCACCGAAAGAATCTCCAATATTAAAGCAATATTTGACACCAAATGAAGTACTCACGTATACAAAATAAAATATTCATGTGTTTAAGAGGGAATAATTTTGAATCAAGCGCTGCGAAAAGGAAAGAGATTCACCGAGTAGAACGTGCCCTCGAAAGCGAGAAACACGGCGTTCCTCGGTCTGTAGTAAGCTTTAGGCTGCGGTAACACCTGCCGCATTGTAAAAAAGTAATCCGTGAAACAGTTCCTATCGAAAACGACTGCCGTTTATCACCTGAGGTCCGAATTAGAGCAGGGAATAAGTATGAAATTTCACAGTATGCTACAGATCATTGAACTAGTGTGAGTCCGAATGGAATAGTTAGCCTACAAAATGGAACCATGCGGGTGATCCAAGGTCACGTCCAGATTGGCGTGGATAATTTTTAGCATGGAAAGTTAGTCAAAACAACAGTCTTAAGATAGATTGTATCCACGTTAGTCGCTCGTTACTGTACACACTGGGTAAAGTGGTTACAAGGGAGAAAACGGAGATACTAGCGCAGCGATAGACCAAAAAAGGGAGAGAATTCCTCGAAGCGTGGTTCTCTACAGAGACTTCAATAAACCAGTGCATCGACTTAGATCCGGCATACCGGCAGCTGCGAAAAAGAGTTTACGTAGGTCATTTGGCACATGAGTCGAAAAGAGGCGGCGCCCGAACTGGGATCCAACAATGATCACAGGACGTGAATCGAAGTGGACAAGTTCAAATGTCACTTGCTCGTCGGTAAGACTCGATGAAACAACTCAGTTTGATTATTACGCGCTGAAGCAGTCACCCCAATTGGTGATAAAACGTTTGCAACAAAACTGTTCAGCTCGGAAAACAGAACAAAATCTGAGCATAAGTAGGAATTCGTCACATATAGGATCAGTCGGACAGCCGTCAAGAAAGGCACCGTACAGCCGTTTCATCTTTTCAGGAGTAACGTGCAAGTTAGCCACTTCGGATGTTACCTGACAGCTGGGCGAGAAAGCTGATTGCCAACGCTCGCGCGTTTGCCACCAATCGTGCTTGGGAAAGACCTTGCGAGCGTGTTACCAGGGCGCAGCCGAAAGCGGATGAAATCGCGCATTAAACAGCAGGCGTGTTGCCAAGGTTGTGGTTGTAAGTCCATGGCACGTTCTGCGCATGATAGCCCATCGCCTTCCACGTCGTGCGCTATTTGCACTCCCAGGGAGCGATTGGAAAAAGTGTCGCGGTGGACAGCAGATGACGTGGAGAAGGAGTATGAAGAAGGCAACCTCAAGTTTGGCGGCAGTTGGACTAGTCTGCCTTCCAGGTTGGGGACCAGGAGATGCTGAGTCGCAGTGGTTGGAAACATTAGACGTCATGGCCCACAACAGACATCAGTGGCGTCAATGTTGTTCTGCAATTTCACCATTCTTTTGATGCACACAAAAACTCACAAACAGGACAAAAAATACAAAATGGCGTGTGCAAAAAAATTGTTTCCCATATTTTTTAATCGCATTTGTATTCCCAGTTTCTTCACTTTTTTCATCTGCCATGGTTCTGATGGCAAAATGTCTGTTAACAGACTGTGAATATATATACATATATATATATATATATATATATATATATATATATCCCATGCTGAGGCTAATATTGCATTCTTGATGCTTCTTCACCGCAGTTGGGCTAAACCAACTTACACTTAAACTAGGTCTTTTTAAGCTGGATACATTTCATTCCACTGTATTGGTTTGTTCTGCCTACCTGAATAATCTTCCACTAACTGGCCACGTTGCTTACGCTAATTGCGCTTATCTTCGGTAATTTTGTTGCGTTTGTAGCATTTTTAAGTAACTTGTGGACATTTTTACTTGTCGCGGATTTGTTGCTAACCAACTTACTTCATATGCTAATTTAGCAGATAGTTATGCCACCGTATCTATATGCATTATTGCATTTATTTTATTTCATCTTGTCGTTTCAAGTGATTAGCTGTCACTTGATATCCCCGGTGTGGCTGCGCTTGATGTGCATGTTGACAAGGTGCCTACCTGTCTATTACCCACTACCTCTTCCATACTGGCTCCAGGAGACAGTTGGTCATTGCTGGAGGGAACGGGGTGTACGGTTCTTGTGGCCGTGCTAGACTTGAAGAGCAGTTCTATGCACTCAGTGTGGAGCGGACTACGGTCCAGCCACCGCCTTGTGTGCGCTTTATTCCCCAAATACAGCGTGCTTGTGTTTGCCTGTGAAGGAGTGTGGGCCGGCTCCGTTGATGAAACGTGGCTCCCATCCACATGTCTCCCGGTCTTATTCCTTCGGGTTTACAATGGATATGGGGGGTGTGGTTGGAGCTGTGGGTGGTGCAGCGCAAGCCATCCATGGTCATTCTGTAGGCGCAGGCGTCCTGTGTGGACACAGTGACAGGCAAATCCGAAACCGGACGCCGCCTAGCATATATATATATATATATATATATATATATATATATATATATATATATAGTGTTGCCAAGGCCTGACCAGAAGCTGATGAGATCGCGCGTCAGATATCACGTGCGTTGCCATGTACCGGGCAGGCAGACGAAGACTGGAGTGCCTGAGCAAGACGGTAAACTGGACAGATGGAGAGGATAAGCATGTGTGGAGCGTAGGCTTACAGCCAAATCCGCCTGGTGATACCGACATATAAATATGGGCGTTCTCTACCCTAATACAACTGTGGTATGCTGAGTCTTCTTCTGTCTTCCTTCCAGTCGGGTTTGCCAAGGCCTCAAACAGAGCACACGTAAGGGCGCAAGTATACCAGTATGCGTGAATCAACCGGTCGATTGCAGGCACAGTGTTATAACATTACCGTCCCCCGTAGCTCAGTGGTCTCAACGACAGACTGGTAACAGTTGAGTTGCAGGTTTGAGCCTAACAGGGGTCAGGTGAAATGCGCACTGCTGACGGTTCCCGAAAGGATGAAATATGAGTTTAGCAAGGTGCTTGGCAAACCTACATGTACCTGTATGGCAAAAGTTCGAGTCTGATCGAAACATTCGGCTTCATCTATCACTGAATGTGAACACACTTCTACCTATCCTACTGTTCTGGAGTGAGACAAGTCGTCAAACATAACGGATGTGCCGAAATCATATGTAAGCATTACTCTTCATAAACTCTAATACAGCAAGGATAAACAACAGTTACCAGAATCTATTGGACGCAGTAATTTTACGTATGCTCTCCAGCTATTTACACCAAATTTATGGAAAGAACAACTTGCAAAAGAAAAAGTGTGATGTTATTTCTGAAATTCAAGGCGGTAGAAAGCCGTTCACATGACTAACCTCACTAGTCTCGCCCTATGCGTAAAACGTAAGAAAAGCAACAGGACCATGGTATTTTTTGTCTCAGGTAGGCTGCTAGGTGAGATGACGGTCCGTTTCTGCTAGCTGAGCAATTCTGTTGCAGATGTTTAGTCGCCAAGCTAGGTAACATCTTCTGTGTGGCTATCAAGTCCTGCCTCGCGTAGTCTCGTAAGCCATGGCCCGAGCCGAGTGACTATCGATCGTTTCCTGTTCTAAATTTCAGCCTACGATTGGCTCACGTGGGTCGGCCGAGTGACAATGTCTTCTCCGACTAGCTAATGCCTATTGCTGGTCTAACCCGCAGAGCTTCGTAGACACTTTCTAGCTCTAGGTGCTTTTTGAAATGAATGCAATACTGAAGTGTGAGATGCGTGAAAATGGTAGAAAAAGGTTGGTAACTAGACTCACGTGATGAATCGCTTATCATCCGCAGTTGGAGAAGCATTGGAACCACCAGAGTGAGCGCTTGAGTTGGAATCTTCCCGTGAGCGGGTCCGAAGAACCGCAGCTGTGGATGGAAAAACTGATGTGAGAAGTATACGCAAATGTGGGGTGCCCAGTAACGTAAGCGAATTGACGTATATGTACAATAACACACCCTGGAAGTGACATGTGCGCTATCAAGAAGTGCACACCAGCACATTCAACGTCAGATAGAGTAATGTGAGGCAGATTGCGGGAGACTTGATGAGTTTCGAAGCATCACGATGGACTGCATTCCTTACTACTCACGAAACCATGTTAGCTGTCAAATGGAAATTGACCACGGAGATACGATTTGTTCAGCTTCGAGATGGCATCTAAAGGATGTTGGGGAAATGTCACTCATGGAAGACAACATTAACAGGGTATATCGTCCGCACAAATGGGGCTGAGCATGGAAGAGCACATGTGCCACTCATTGGTCTATTACCGCACCCCCAATTCTGGTAGCTACTGATCAATGAAATGACAGACAGTGGAAGACAGTTAAGAGTCAGCGCTGATTTCAAACGAATCACGGAAAGCAGTTCAAAAACCTTTAAGTGACTTTACACATGCTAAGTTTGTGTGTGACCAACTCCAGGCAGATAGCAGTGCAATTATACAGTCGTACTCCCGAGCTGAGTGCGGACAATAAATAAAAAAGCGACGAACAACAAAGCATAATTTTTGGGGCAGAGTTACATATGCGAAAGAAATACAGACGATACTAGAACACGACGGAATAAAAGTGTGTCCATCATCACCGCAAATTGGAGGACACACCTGACAAATTTCGTGAGATATGTGGCGCACGAAAACGAGGTTGACGATGGTACGAGTAGGAAGCAATCTGTCGGATAACTGCTAAGCGCGGAAATTCAACTTTGTTAGGTAAGCTAAAGAGCACAACGTTCCGGAGTTTTAAGGGCCGTTTGGCTGAACAACGAAGAATGAGACACGCGACAGTCAGAAAGCGTATAGTGCATCACAATGCAATCCTCCCCAACGAACTCGTCAACGCTATGTATGTGATCTACCACCCATGTTGAGATGTGAAAGCCTACATTAGAGAGGTTCCATTAACGCCTAATCATCACCATCGTCGTCGTCATCATTATCCTCATCCTCATCACCCTCACCATCGTCGTCGTCGTCATCATCATCATCCTCCTCCTCCTCCTCCTCATCATCATCATCATCACCATCATGAATATCAGCACATCAGTAATGTGAATTCATGGCCCGCTACTGTACCAAACTGATCTACGGAACGAAGAACAATAGGAGAATAACGAATAATTAACATAGAAAGCGAGTAGATGTATGCAGGTGGTTTCAATCGTAGTTAGATCGAGTACGTGCGCGGAATCACTTCACTGATTCCTGCGCGTTTGCAGCATATTACAGCCGGGTTACAGGTTTCTCGGGTGCAATGCGCAAATTGGGTGTCTAGGAATTGTTTGAATTCCGACAACGGTGTCACCTCCACTATTTTCGCAGGTAAACTGTTTCAGTAGCTCACCACTCGCCGCTCGAAACGAAGCGAGTGAGTTATCCACTTTAGGTCCGGTACCATAAGCTTGCACCGGCAGCCGCAAGACATAAAGCAGAACCTTAATGCCCTAGGCAAACATTCAGGGTTAAGGGGCCTAGACCGTGCAAACACAAACAGCTGGAGATCGTGCTCGCAGCACCGGCGAGAGAGCGGGCTTTACTGCGCTGCATCGTAGTTAGACATTACGATGCAGGTAAGTCAATAAGACGTACAATTTAAACAGGAAGTCCGACAGCAAATGTGCCACTGGTGTCCACGACGAGCCATGTCCTTAAACGTCACGAGCCATGCGGATCAGGTGGACCCCAACGTGGAGATGATAAGGGGTTAACAGCACTGTATTTTTCGCTAGTGACTTTAGTTCCCACGGCCCATACAAATTTTGCTCACCTCAGACCTTGCGCTATCCATCTGGTGTCATGGGACACCAGAAATGATCCACAGACAACGAAAAAAGAAGGAATGAAGGCGTCTCAGATCCTCAAGCAGAAGGAGTTAAGTCTCCATCATCCAAAGTAGGATAACCCTCACTGAAGCATTGCACACAGCCTTTCGAACAGAGAGAAACCCCTTACTGACGCAATATATGTTGGGGGTTTAAAAAGGTGGTGCTAGCTTCTGCAATACATGAACTAACTACAGCACTCCGCCGCTCATCGGCGCTGGTACAGGTGATTTGATAAACTACCTCAAGTTCATTGTTATCAAGAGGCAAAGGATCATCGAGTCGCTGGTTGTACTACAACACACCTTGCATTTTGAAAGATGGGATCACTCCAGGGTATGCCTAGGGTAAACTGGACCGTCTCAAGATTGTTAAACGGTAAAAACGAAGCAATCGCATAAGCAAGATCAACTAATTTTCGACCAGGTAGCATCTCAATGCATGCATCGTGGGGTTCCGTAAGGGAACTCTCCGTGATGGAGTCCAATACCAAGTTAAACAAAAATGTGGAAATGGGGGTAACTCCGGTGAACTCCGTTAACTGTCGGAAATGCCCTCGATAACTCGCGGAAGATCCCGACGCGACTGGCGATGTTCGAGCCCAGGAAGTGTAGGAAGTTGATGAGACAATTACGGTTACAGTTGGGTAAGGATACCACAAAGACATTAAGCAGGAGAATGATTAGGATTCTCAACCAGCCTTTTGCTCATAAGCCCGACGTTTAGGCAGTGGGGAGCTGGTAACAATTCGGCTTTAAAGTGGTGAATGCCAACTCGTTTCCAACACCCAGTCTGAAGAGCCAGGAGAGTTAGTTTGTCTGACAAATGGCCAAACTAGTAGGAGATGCTCTCCAGAGGCCCGATGGATCGAAGAGGTCTAGAGACAGTTGCATCAAGTTAAGGACCTCAAACAACCATGTAGCGCCAAGCACGAATCGTAACCAAACGGAGAACCTGTTCATCCTACTGGCATCAGTTAACAGTAACGCCGCTCGGACTCCTGATTACTTCAACTGACGAGTTAAATCTTAAACATTCCCACTGAATTGTCATTAGTATTTTACTGCTATTATTTCTATCCGGACGACCTGTATCAAACTAATCGGATCCACGATACCTTCACGGGTGTCTAAACAACCTGGCTAGATGACAAATCATATAGGCAAGCCCAGTTTTTTTTAGATAAGGTTTCATGAATATTCAAAAGGATCAAAAGCTACAACGAAGCCGAATACAACCTCCCACTACATATGTCTATCATATCCGGGAAGGAATGCATGCAAAAGGTAAACACAGGCTTCTGTAGCGAAGAAAGCAAATCATCGCCATCCGTAACAAGCTTGTGGCTGGTTAATCACGATAAGCAATCCAGAAGCAATCGAACTCATTGCTACATGGGGTCAAAGGTATCAGCAACGCATCGATACCTCGTGCCGATTCTTCGCGAGCACCAGCGGTAGAGCGCGTGAGGTAGTCCGCACATTCACAGATTTAAAACAGCGGTCTGTGGATTGCAAATTGGAGACGCCTGAACATCTTGCGGCCACCGACTCTCCAAGGGACAGAGGGGGTACGATTGAGTAAACGGCTAACATTGCAAGGAAGATTGGCAAGTGCTGGATCGCCATGAAACATGCAATCGCACTTCAGGTGGGGACTTGTAAGTTACTAGTCTAATGCGATGAACCGTAATGCGCTACACGAGCAAGAAAAGAGGGTCGCCGTTAACAGCGGCGCATCACAAGACAACGTAGAAAACAAAACAATCGCACAGTGGTACGTGAGAAATTGTCAAACACAACTAAAATGGGATTCGCCAAGGATGAAACGGGAGATCAATGGAGAAATATCAGACGAAATTCGACCAGTAGCGTTGGAAGACCATCAACTAGATGAGATAATACGTTCAAAGTCATGATGCATTCGATCGGTTACAAAAAAAGACATGTAGAAAGATGACACGAAAAATTACCTTGATTAGGGGGCGCTGTTAATATACTTGTGGCCAGTGAAGGAGCGGCAACCCAGGGACGTTTAACGGGTCGCTCGTGTGGCAGCGGAGGAACATCGGAACGCCGTCTGTGTGCAAATAGGCAAGAATGGTATTAATGGTGTCCAATTAAAGAATCATGATCAAAAGATCGTGCGATGGACGATGTGCAGCCGATGAATTCTACTGTAGTATGTACGATCAAAAAGAGTGGCGGTTTGGGAGGTGAACGTGGACACAATATGGCAGAAGGTCATTTCGAAAAAAGCAGTAAATCGTGGACAAACGAGTGTTTGAATGCAGTATGCGGTAGGAGTACGGTGGGGTTGCACAGATCTGCATGAATGGTATGGTGCAGTAAGCATCAGGGTTAGGTGTAGGGCACATACAGTCGGCTTGTGGCGAACAATCACGCGGAACAGAAGCTCGCTGTGTTACCGAACCAGAAGATTAAACTGATCGAGATAATATGTTGCACAACAACAAAAATTTACGAATGCAGTCAAATATATGATTATACTCATTTATCTGATATTTCGACCAAGTGAGAGGAAAACTTGTTCACCATACTACGGTAAAGAGCAAGGAAAAGGCAGGAGAATGAGGTGAATAAGGAGACACAATAAGAGCGTTGAGCTGTGGAGTGGTGAGTGGAGAAAAGGAGAGACCCACAACCGCAGGGTGAGCGCGTGTCGTAGACCATAGAAAAACGTGTACGTCACACCACCTGGTTGTTACTTTCCAAAAACAGATCAAAGAATATTGCAGATGAGTGCCGAACGCATAAAGATACGTTGCAGTCCGACTGCATCGTGTGAAATGATGCACAGTCAAAATCGAGACAAGAGAAATCAATGGTGTGAGCTGTGAAACGCTTCACTTGGTTAAACATGAGCACTTTAAAAAAAATTAGGTGGCAACTCGATGGAGCGGCGACAGATAGTGCGCTGAGGTGAGATACTCGTCGCAAAAAAATGTATCGAAATCGGCAAATCACACCGCGAAATTCATCAGCAAGAACGATGAGAAAATAATGAGACAATAATGAACTCAGGAACGTCTGGAGACAATTGGTGCAAAGACTCCCCTTCCGATCCTATTCACACTCACAAGATCGCGTACACAAAGGGGTTCTGATAAGTTCCTGGCTTCGCTCCCCTCCACAGAAAATAGTAAAATGCGTGCAGGGACATATGAGACTTTGATATCCTAGTATCTATCTGTGTAAATGTCAGGTGATTGTGATACTGAAAAAATGTTTTCCGAGAAGAAACTGTGACGGCAGAGGCAGAAGGAAGTTTCACGCCGCTTGAATTTAGGGACGACATGAAGTTTTCTTTCCCCAGGAAACGTCAGTTAAGGAAATGTAAAAAAAACTGGGAGATAAGTGTCCTTCCTACCTCGGTATCTCGCTACAAGACGGGTCACATTTAAGATCAGCTCCGCAGTGGACGTGCACAAACTTGAACTGATCCAGCAATCCGCGATGCTGTCCGTGAACTGCAGGACCGGCGAATATAAGCTGAAAATTGCCAAGATACTGGACATCACACGGGCGTGCTGGATTTCATATATCTACTATCGTGGACATTAGCAAGCTTTCAGCAAAGTGATTACCCAAATGCTTGAACAGAGATCAGAAATATATTCCAAAACATGCTGGCCCATTTTGAAACTGCATAGAATAAGGTCAGTGACTGAGGATGAGACCTGCCTTTGTGTGTGCACTGCTGAAACCAAAAAACAACCAAAGGAATGGCGTCACATTGGGTCCCCGCGGCCGAAGAAGCAAAGCATCCGAAAAATCATGACGTCAGTATTCTGGGACGAAGACAGTGTCCTGTTGGTGGACTACCAAAAACGCTCAAGTGTCACCGGACAGTATTATGCCAATCTCCTAGAACAGCTGAGCGAGGTGAGTAAAAGGAAACGCCGTGGTAAGTTAATCAAATTCATTTTTTTCTTACACGACATATCCAATGTTGTGGCTGCCAAATTGAATATCCTGGGTTTCCAATTGGCCCGACATCCCCCACACCTAGCTTAGCTGGCCGCGCCAGGCTATTAGGTCTTCCCGAACTTGAAGAACTATCTGAAGGAGCGACGTTTCTGACGCCAAATACGTTGCTGATAGCTGGTTTGAAGCACAATCAGATGACATTTATCTGACCGATCCAGAAAAATTGCAAATATGCTGTGCCAAGCACGTCAGTCTCAGAGGTGAGTATGGTGAATAAAGCTGTCATTTCATGCCTCCATGCTGGTCAAGACCAGGAACTAGTCAGTACCCTCTCGTATTGAGTCAGTAGAATCCCGCCGAGCAACCGGTTAGTAGAAGCGCTCGCCTTCACAAGCTTTCTTAGTACATTAGCGAACAAGAGGGATAACGATAATCCCATGGTGCAGCTCTTCTTCGGGGGGACACCGCTTCCAATGGAGAGTAAACAGGATAAATACACAGTGTCACATCGTTGGTCGGTTTACCCCATGATCCGCTTTTTGAAAGTGACAAAACTAGCAGCAACATCTCACCCTTGGATGCGCAATGAGAAGCGGGATAATCTCTAGATTTTTAATCAAGTGTATACACTTACGCCTTCGTATGCATTTAGTGTCCGAGCATTTTAAAACTATCCTGGATAGTACATGTTATCAGTATCTGAAGCACAAACCCAAACTCAGGTAGCTGCTGAAGGAAGACCACCTAGACGCTCTCAAAGCAGTCAAACAAAACGAGAATGTGATACTATCTAGGCCGAATAAATGGGCAGGGATCGTTTTGACGAAGAAAGTTGACTATATTGACAAGATGGAGGTCATCCTCAACAATCGCGCTAAGTTTCGTAAAATGGAGAACGAGACGGATAAAACATCGACAATAGAAAAGATAGCTACTAGCCTTGTACGACGCCTGAGACAAGAAATTCGATTAAATCTAACACGTTCGAACAACTTCGACCCACTTGGACGGTGATTCCGAGACATTACGGCTTACCAAATGTACAGAAAGAGGGGTTTCCACTTAGATCCATATTGGACATGTGCAACTCACCTTACCACGCAACCGCTAAGTGGCTAGCCAAGTTTTTAGAGCCAGTGAGAAAAATTTTAATCATGCATGTCTCCGTGATACATTCAGCTTCTTAGACTCCATACGACATCTAAACCTAAGCGGAAGGAAGATGTTTTTGTTGGACGTATTGTCGCTCTTCACGAATGTTCCTTTAGAAGAGATAATTGACTATCTAGATGACACTATTTGATCACATCAGTTGAATGTCGGCATTTCGAATAATCGGCTGAAACAGCTACTCATGTTGTGTACTAGCAACATACAATTGCAGTTAAATGGGGTAATATACAGACAAAAGGACGGAGCAGCAATGGGCTCATCACTAGGACCGCTGCTGGCAGATGTAGTCATAAGCAAATTAGAAAACAACTACCTGAGCGGAGTCATTAGCGCATTACCCTATTACGGTCGGTATGTGGATGATATGTTTTGTGTGACAGACAGTCAGTGCTGCACAGAGCAAATTTTGTCCCATTTTAATTCAGCGCACGAAAAGGTTAAGTTTACCCTGAAGTTTGAACGTCATCGTACGATGTTCTACCTAGAAGTCTAAATTAGCAGAGGATTAGATGAGTCGTTCTAACGCAGGGTGCACAGAAAAGCCACGTGGAATGGACAATACATACATTTTGCCAGCTTTGTCCCACTAAGTCAGAAGCGAAACTTGATTAGACGTTTAACCGAAAGGGCAAGAAGGATATGTAGTGAGGACACGCTTCCGGACGAGCTAAATTTCCTAGTTGGCCTTCTTGAGAGAAATGGTTATCCATGAAAGTATGTTCGGAAAAATATGGAATGCCGAGAATCGAGGGCAAAAAGCGATTCGGTTGAAAAGAAATTGGTTTATCTGTCGTTGCCGTTCAAAGTGGATGGAATAGCGCAGGCAACGTCTAGAAGGCTATCCGACACCATAAACCATAAGTACTACGCGGCAAGCTTACGGCTAAAATTTACTTCAACACCAATCATAAGGCTTCAACTCAAAGACAGACTTCCTCGGCCAAGTACTTCTTTCTGTGTATACTCCTTTACTTATCAAACAGGTTATATCGGAAGACCAACCAGGAGACTGTCTGAGAGAATCTGTGAGCATTGCCCGACTTGGTCCTGTGCAGGTGGAACAAAAGCAGTGACGAGCGTCGTGTTGGCACATCTAGTTGATCTTAACCACCATATCGATACGTTCTAGTGTTTCCAGCCAATTTACCGCGAACCTGGATGCTACACACGAACGGCAAGATGTCGCTTATTAGCAACAACCGAAGCGATGGCCATCCGCCTCCAGAACCCAGACTTATGTGTACAAAAACGATTCGTTCAGATTCTCTCTCTTCCGTGGCCTCATCTCACAGTAACCTCCGCTGAGGAACATGCCAATGACATGTCCTTGACCATTTGTGAACCAAGCACTTGACCTGGTCGTTTAGATGACCTAGACCTTTGATCTAGACCGTTTGAACTTTACCCTTGTCTGATGTTTTACCTCATTTTATTCGTAGCAGTTGTGGTATACCAGCCTGACGAGATCCACCGAAAACGAGCTTGTTCGCTGACCTGTTCTGATGTCTATAATAAAATTATTGTGCATAATGTTGAACCTTACTATTTTATCTAACCGTACCATATACCTTTACGAACGTACGTATTCGTTTAGCATGTAAGACGCCTGCAGTCTATATAAGGCACGGGTCTTACCTGTTGAGCTATATATAGTCACAACCAACGTCTCATCCAATACTCAATCAGGCAGTCACCACAATTCAGCTATACTGGATCAGATGCACTGCCACTGCGATTTTACGATAATAAATGTGGCGAGTGTCCAATGAGACAATTGAGTGAACAGTGGTGGGGCTTACGAAGGCCCTGTGGTATGACACACGGTTATCACTTTTAAGTGAAGAAAATATGCCGACTACTTAAGGAATCGCTTTTCGTTATTCCCATATATAACTGCGCAGACTTCCTCAATGCAGCTCCCCAAGATCAGCATAGCTGCCAGTTCATGGGTTGGTC